GACATTATTGAAAGTTATTAGAGAAAGCCTAATAAATGCTATATGCTTGAATGGAACACTCAATATTGGTGAGACGTAAATTATTCCCAAGTTGAACCCTACATTTAATGAAATTCCAATCAGAATCCCAGCAAGTTTTTTTTTTTTGCTTTTTTTCACTTTGTATGGAAATTGACAAACTAATTTTAAAGTTTATGTGGCAATATAAATGGCCATTAGTATCCAAAAGAGTCTCAAGAACAAATTTGGAAAACTTACACACCAGATATCAATCCTCATTGTCAATCTAAAAGAATTAAGACAGTGTAGTACTGGTGCAAGAGGAAAGAAAAATAACCAGTGGAACAAAATAAAGATCCCAGAAATAGAGCCACACCTGGGCAATCACCTAATATAAAATAATGTGCCCCTGAGGTACATGGGAAAAGGCCAGTATTTCCAATAAATGTACTGAGTCGATCAAGTTTTCAATTCTTATACAGCTGGCCTATCTAATAATCTACTTCATTATCTCACTTGTGGTCTCAAAACCCTACCGTAGCTTTGCTCATTCTGCTGAGATCAAAGTGTCTACATCTTGCTGCCTCTTGGGTGTCCCTACCATGACTCAAATATATCCAAACCTGAACTCATCTTTATCCCCCTTTCTTAACTTATTCCTCATTCCTTATTGTGAATGGCTCAGAATTTCAAACTAAAAATTCTGTAAAAATAAAAATGTGTCTTTGCCCTTCCATGGTTATTTTCTCTGCTAGGAAAACTATGTTCTATCCATAAAATAAGTCTAAATTTGAAATTTTGTCAAAAAATTAAGGCAATAAGTAAGTCTAGGATTAATCCTTGGGGATTCAGCAGTCCAGAATTGGCTTGGTTGATCTAAGAAAACCTTTCTACAAGTTTTGAAAATCAACTCTAAAGCAATACTGCCTAACATGTTGATTCTAACATGTGTTTGTTCAGATCCTGAGGATTCTGAAGTTAGGATGAAACATATGAAACTTAAAAAAAAAAATGAACACCAGTCTTTCTAGCCATCCATCCATCCATCCATCCATCCATCTTTGTTTCTTTTCAAACAGAGGAGTTTGTTTTGATATTGCTTATTCCAGGATGATATACATTTTAAATCTGTAACTAGTTCTCACTTTTAATGTCTTTCAAAAAACTGTACCTAGAACATGGAAAAGTTTTCACAGACACAGAAGACACCAGAAGACCATCACTGCAAAACAACACAACTGCCAAAACACAAAACAGAATGTCAAAACTAACAGAGGCGAGTATGGCCGATTCATGAACCAAAGAGGACCATGATTCAGAAACTAAACATGCTCTCTGTTAAAACTTCTGGTTGACTTCCAAGAGATTCTCTTTGACTTCTAAGTATACAAAGTTCAGTTAAGAACATTAAAGATGTGCCTTTAAGCAAACAAGAAATGTAGATGAAAATGATATTCTTTCTAGGCCTCAGGATTGCACCATTCATCTAAAGAAAGAAAGGTCATAAGAACATATGAAGAGCCACATGGCGCCATCATGCTACTTCACAGGAGGATGAAAAGTCAAAAGGTATTCGGAGCAGTCTGTCCTCTAACTGTGAAGACAGCATAGTGTGGGAGCCACACAGAAAACTATAGGAAAGAAGTAAATGGACAGTAGTGTCAGAATCAGGACAAGAACTCAGACTTTGGGGAAAATTTACTCTTTCTTTCTGTCCACACCCCTCCTCTAGAAAAGTTGTTACTAGATCAATGGTTGACCAAGGGGAAAAAGAATTGCAAAGGTTCCCTGCAGGAAGGCCTCAACTGTCAAAGTCCCAGGACCTGAATTCTCACAAACACATTTTAGCTGCCAATGGAATGTTCTCTTGGCCCTTCAGACAGAGACCACATCAGAGACGGAGTGGGAGGACCTGACATAGGGAGACCGCTCACCTCTCTGAACCTCACCTTTATCTTGAGACGGTCCCCATGTCACAGTAAAATCCTAATTTGAGAATTTCAGAGAAGGCTTTCCCCGAACTGTTAGTTATATATAAATGCAAATCTTTATCAGCATCATCATAAGGGCATAATGATTTATAATTATCGAAATTGACATCAAACGTTTTTTTGGTGGGGGTGTGGGTTCTGGAGATCAAATCCAGGCCTCATGTATGCCAGGCAAATGCTCTACCACTGAGCCACATCCCTAGCCCACCAAACTCACCTTAAAATGTAAATATCACCCAATACTATGGAGTTAAATTTTTTAAAAAATAAATAAATAAAATGCAAAGGGCAACTTGGACTTGAAATTAGTGCCGACCGTTGAGTTGATGATCTCACTCTAATCTATGGGTCGTTTCAGATCTTTCCATGATTTAAGACTCTATCTAAGAGCTGATTCTCAAATTTTGGGTAAAATATCAAGTGCTTCCCTGATATTTCCAAAAGCACCATCTATTCAAAGTACTCACTTTAAAAAAAAAAAAAAAAAAACTTACCTGGTCCAATTGTCTCTTATCAGTTAAAACACACGTTTCTGCACAGCGCAAAGTGGAGACCTGCCTTCCAAGAATCTTCCCCAACCCTCCCTGGGCCAGGTTTTCTGACTGCCTCCTGTGTCAGAAATCCCAGGTCGTCCCTTCTTCTGCCCTCAGTTGAATGTAGGACTCAGCATTGAAAAACCTGACTCCCCGACCCCCCTTTTCAAGGATGCCAACTATTTCGCAACACAAACACTTCTTACATGAAGTGAACCCATCAAGGGTTACAAATGTCACTTAAACACAGATTTGGACACACAAGTTTCCTTACAAGCCTGGAAAGGGATTTTGAGCCAAGACACCCCAAGACAGTACAGATGGGGAGATCAAACCAGCCCCCACAAGGAGTCCTGCGGTCAGACCTGGAGGCCTCTGGAAGAACATTAGAGGCAGCGGGAGGCCTGGGCTCCCGGCCCACAGATAAGGAAATCTGGCCAACCTGGAACCCTTCAAAAGCATGAGCTTCTCCAATTCTCCCAATATCCCCCCTCTCCTATGCTCCAAAATCAAACAATCCAAATGCCAAATGCTCCCATCCTAGAAGACCAAGAAATGACAGCTCTCTGCTTTGATAGGGAGCCATCCAAGGTTGGGACCCTCGGACTTTGTTTTCCAAACTCACTGTTGGCCTCAAGAAGTACGTCGCCGCCATTTGAAGCCCAAGGCAGCTGTTGTTTTTTGGCTCAAGTTCAGTGTAAACCTTACAAAGTTTCTGTTAGCTCCTTTAAAAACAATAATAATAATATTTATTATAATAATAATATATTATATAATAATAATAATAATTATTATTATTTTGAAAAATTCCATAGTCACTAAACTTCCAGCTTAATGCTTTTCCCCCAGGACAGAGAAAACCATGTTTCCCAAACAAACTTCTGAACCAAAAAAATGTACCAGTACAAAAAGTTATTCCCACCAGAGAAATGTAATGGAATAATTAGATTGAAAAATCTATATGTAAAGCCATTCCAGAGAACTGCTGAGTGCCAGTTCTCTCCAAATTATCAAAAGATGAATATCTAGCGATGAATAATTTGCTTCCCAAAAGAACCCCCCCCCCCAATAGCAAAGCCATCGCATATGCTTTTATTTAGGAGTGACAATCAGGCTTTGGAAACCTTCCCTTTCATTCTGACTTTTGATCCATCATAAAGATACCAAAATGGCTGTATTTAGTCATTATTTAGCTGTCCCAGCTTGGAACTCATCTACAACCCTCAGTGGATACTCCACACCATGACGAATTCCCAGCACCTGCCATCACTCTGTCTTCCTCCATTCACCCCATTAGAGACTTGAACATGTACAAGGGTTCAATGCGGGTGATGCTTTCAAAACAAAAGTGAACCCTTCATAGGTTAAGTTCATGATTCCAAGGATTTCAGCATGCATATTTGTGACAGACCCACACACAGATCAATAAGTTCAGAAGAAACCAAAGTCATTCCTAAACCTTTGGAAATTCTTGGGAAGTCAATAGTCTTCCAAGACCAAAAGCAAGAATCTGGATGCATTTTATAAAACCAAAGGTGACAAATTCTTTAGAATGCTTGTAAGTGCAGGGTTCCTGCCCTCCAATACACTGTTTTTCTTTCTTACCTTTTTATCTACCATATAATTGCCAGAATATTATGTCACTGGCTTAATTTCGACCTTGTGCACACTGAGAACTACACAGCGATGCTAACCTAGGCATTATGTGCTTGATTCTCCCTGGACTGACCCCTTAAGTACCAAGCAAAATCCAAAGTCATTGGCTGCTTTTCTGTGCACTACAGATTTGAACTACCTGCTGCGACACTTTATCCTTCTGCCCAGTTTTTCAACCATCACTCCATGGAAGCTTTTATTATTATTATTATTATTATTATTATTATTATTATTAGGCAGCTCCATGAACATATGTCATTGCAGCTTTTTTAAAAAATGGTCTAGACTCATTTTAGGAAACAAGAATAAAATAGCCACATTGGAAAAAAAACTATCATTCCCTTATATCCATATGGTAAAAAATACATTAAACCCACTTACTCAAAGGTGAAATCATATGTGTTTATTAAATGCACAAATAACCTTGTTGTCATCTGAATTAGTATCATTTATAAGCAACATTATATAAATTTAATGTGTGCATTTATTTTAGCCACCCCTGCCTGTCATTCAAAGTGGAGACCAAACAATAATGGAAAACATTTTATCCCCAATACAGTTGTCTGGTCACAAAAGGTGCTTAGTAAGTCCTCCTAGCTGGCTTGCTCAGGAAAAAATAAGTATTTGGGAAATCAGCTTATTGGGAAAAAAAAAAAGTCTTTTCGGCTGAACAGCACCCTGGAGAACACCCACCTCCTCATGTTCACGGGCTGTCCCTCCACCGCTAAGCACCTTCCACAGACACACTTGGGGTCATGTGACGACGGAGGGTGAGAAATGGGGCCGGGCCCACCTTGGGGGCTTCCTTGAGCCTTCATACCTGTGCTGATGCTCCTGTAAGACTTGATAAATGCTGATAAGAAAAGTTTGGTTTTTAAAACTGCCCACAACACAGTCCTTGTAGATGCGGAATTCTGCAGCCGTCACAGCCTCACCCTCAGGAATCTGGGATAAGTTGAACTTGAACTCTTTGTGGTGTCGCTGGCGAGGGGAGAACTCCTTGTCGTACTCCACTATAGGATTAAACAAGAGAGAGTGACAGCTATTGTTATTGACTAAGGGCCACAGGCTCGCCTCCTGACAGGGGTCGGGGGGAGGACGCTGGCTACAGGGTCAGACAGCCCAGTTCACCATCACCGCAGCCCCTCAGGACGACATGAACTTCTTAGGCCGTTTGCAGTTTAAACGCTTTGGTTTGAGTATTGGGTACAATAAATTGCATGACATCTAGTTCTTTAGACCCTTGGCTTCAGGGTCTAAATAACTAACTGTCATGCAATGACTCTCCACGAAAATAGGGAGAGTCTGACTTTGTGGGGAAAGGTGGAGAATGAATGAAATCCCATCCTGACCATGACGCCCTCCCAGCCCCCGTCCCTCCCAGGGGTTTTCTCTCCTCAGTTCTGTTCACATGTCACCATCTGCCGCTGGCATGACCAAGGTGGCCCTGCATTGAACTTGAGTGGGGTGGCGTGAGAGCACTGGGTGGGGGGAGAGGGCAGCATATTTTCCCCTGGGCCTGAAGTTCAAAGGAGACTCAAATGTTACCTGCTATTCAGTGGAGACTCTTACTGAGGGTAGAGCTTTGTAGAATATGGCTCCCTGCTGTCCACCTGCTGGGGGAAGCTGAGGGTTGAATGATGGTGTGGGGGACCCTGTGCCCAGGTAAACTGCTGGAACCCCATTTAATCTGTGAGTAGATCCCAAGCAGAACTAGTATGTGTGAGGAAATCACCAATGGTATTGTTCACTATTTTCTAGTGGTTTACACTGAAAGAAACCTTTGGAAAAGGATTAGGACAAAAGTAATTCAAATTATGTGAAATGATGCCAGTTTTCCATCCGTGGATGAATGGATATGTGGTGTAGGCACAATGGAATACTACCGAGCCATTAAAAAGGTGCTGTCTGTGACAATGTGAAGGACATTATGCAGAGAGAAATGAGCCAGGCTCGGAAAGACAAACCCCACAGGCTCTCACTGATGCATGGAATCGAGGAAAGTCAAGCTCAAAGAAAGAAGCAGAGGTGGAAGGGTGGTTGCCAGGGGTTAGGGCATAAGGGGAGGGAGGGGACTGGGGAAAAGTGGGTTGGTCCAAGGGTCCAAAGGTCAGTTTCGAAGTAACACAGATCTATTTTATAGCATGGTGACTAATAATACCATAATGCATACTTCAAATTTATTAAAATAGTACGTTTTCAATGTTCTCATCTCACACACAAAAAAATGAAAACATCTTATCTCTGTGAGGGGATGGAGACCTTACTTAGCTTGACTGTGGTGATCATGTTACAATGTAAGTGTGTATCAAAACACATACATTTAAATCCCTTAAATACATAAATTCTTGTCGATTATACTTTGATAAAACTAGAAAAATAAGTTTTTTAAATAAAATCTTTTTCCTGCAGGAAAAAACCAATACAGAAAATTGCAATTACTGATTATCATTTTTTGAAGTCAGTCTCAGCTCTCAAATGTCTACATAAAGTCCCGTGTGAGAGAGACGACATGAAACCTCAGGGTTTAATTCGGAGTCATTATGAAGGGAAAAAACAGAGGGTTCTGCTGCCACTAGTCCTGACTCTGTCCCCAGAGTCGAGAAATGCTCCTGCCCCGAAGTGCCTGTTAGTTTTTTCTCAGTGACAACCGGGAAGAAACCTCATGAGCAAATCCACCCTGGATGGCAGAGCCTTCCTGGGGTTCATGGGCAGAAAACAAAACTAAAATCATTTGCCACCTTGAACTTTTGACTTCCTCCCCACGTGTTGTTTCTTATCATGATCAAAGAAGAGTTGTGAAGATTCAGAATATTTTTTTAAAAAAATCAAAACACCTGAGAGCTCTCAAGAGGACCCAATGTTCTTGATGGCATTTGCAGAAGATAAGGAGAGAGGAGCCATCTATGGGGACAAGATTTTAAACAGAGAACTTCCAGAATGGACCTGTAATTATGCAACGATTCCTTAATGCTGGGATTTCCTTTTTTCTTTCTTTTTTTTTTAATTTTGGGGGTTAAAAAGGAACAAGCTTTGGCTTCTGCAAGCACTTGAATGTAAAGTAAAAAGAGGTCCAACCAGAAAGTACACACCCCAGTTCAGCCCCAACAGGACAGCAGGTTTTCTAATTAGTGGCCGAGCATGAAAAGCAATATTGTTAAAGAGTTCACCCAAGGACGCGCACACGGGACACTGTATCACTTTCCCCAAAACTGATCTGCCTTTTAAGTCTGATATGTTATCACTGTTGGTTAAAAAAAAATTGAATCAAATCTGATTTCCCAAAGAGTCTTTCTTAAACAAAAAAAACCCCAAACCCAGAGCTTTTCTATAGGGTCTTTTGGATGCTTAATTTCAACATTGCTACATGAAAATACAGAAAGCATGTATAAGAAGTCTTTCAATCTCTCTTACTATGAACAAGAGTTTGAGAAAAAAAATACAGATGTGAAGTGAGATAGAGAATAGTAACTAAGACTTTTCAGTTACAAAGATTCAAGATACAAAAATTTCAATATATGAGGAATGTGGCCGCTAGTTTTTGACAGGTGCACCTCCAAGAATAAATCACCCTTCCCTGTATTCATACACTTGAGTGATCCTGTAATCTGCTCTGTAATCTGCTTTGGACTATGGAATGCAGCAACAGTGGAACTCAGCTATTTTCTAGGTCAGGTTGTAAGCACTGAACTTCCTTCCACACTTGTGTGAGAAAAGATGGCGGCCATGTAAGAAGCTGGACTACCCAGAGACCTCCATATTGTGAGGAAGCCCAAGCTAGCCATGTAGAGAAGTGCATGGAAGGAGAGGTAGAAGAGTTAAAGGAAGAGAAGAGAATAGAGAGAGAGAGAGAGAGACAGAGAGAATATGAACATACCACAAACTGTCTAGCCACTGGCCAAACACCTCAGCAGAGGCATCAGATGTGTTATGAAAGGTCATCTTGGCCATCAAGTCCAGTGGCCATCTGGTTCCCACCATCTGATTGCAACTACAGGAGCAACCTTACTCAAGAATGGCCCAGGTAAACCCATCATCTCAGAGGACTGTGAGAGATGACGATGCATGGCTGGTTTTAGCCACTTTGTTTTGGGGGGATTTGTTTTGCAGTCACAACAGGATAACACAAAAAGAGAAGAGATGACAGGAGAGGCTAAGAGACGGAGCAGGAGAGCACCGGTGCATCCGACCATGCTAGGAAGGGGAAGAGTGTGTACAATTCTTGAGGATAAGGATTATGCAATGCTGGAAGGCAGTGCGTATGACTAAGGAGGAATCCTGGCAAATTCTCACAGATGCAAAGAGATAAAGATCCTAAAAATGTGAAAAAGAGAAGCCCAGTTCAAAGCATTAATTTTATCACAATGCGAACTAGAACCCGCTGCCTTTTAAGGGCATTTTCCCATTTCTCCTCTACCAAGACAGTCTCAAGGCATTCTGCACATTCTTTTCTTGGATCCTTCTTGGGGGACACTTATGACCTCTGTTGCCCCTCATGTCTGATTTCAACCTACCCCTTATTCTGGGTCTTCTGAATGCCCCGTTGGTGTCTCTCAGCTCTCAGCTAAAGGCCTTCCCCACTCTGCCAGACAACTCAGCCACCATCCCTGAAGTCTCTCTGGAACTTCTCCTTTCTCCCCTACTCTTTTGCCTGTGGTAGGATTTGCACAATGCATTTGCGAATATCTCACGGGGATTAACACAGTGTGGTTAATGGAAATAAACACAATGTGGTTACCACTTCCATATGCATCTGAAGGCCACAATGGTAGAATGGTAACATTTCCAGTGAACTTAGCAATTCAAGTTATAGGACTGTGGATTCCTTAAATATCAAATAGTTCAGTAAGTAGGAAAACAAGGGAAAGGACTAGGGCTAAGTTTTGAATTCAGTCTTAGTACCTAGCTGTAATCCTAGTATTCGTCTTATCAATGGTGGTACCAATGTGGTATTCAATGAAGTAGGGACCAAGATGGTGAGGAAGTGACAAATTGTGACACTTGTTTGGAATTCCAGCTCCTCCCCCACTTATGTATGTGATATTAGTCAAAAGTTTCAGGGTTAGTTAAGTGGGAAGAATTCTGAAGAATAAGTGAAACATTCTACATCAATAGCACACATCGAGCCAATTAACACTTTCCCTAAACTGGCTTTGGAACAATGCATTCTGCAAAACGCGCAGTGAAATTTCGGCATCCTTGGTGTTTAGCTAGTGAACCGTGCTGCGTTCTCTTAGGCAAGAGTTCCTAGAATTTAATTTCGAGGACAAGTTAAGACACTTTTAAAGAATGGTGATGACCTCATACAAGGTCACTGACATCTTCTGTCTGCTCTTTGTAAGGACAATAAAACAACAAATGGCATTCCTTTAACTATGATTTCATTTCTAGAAATCCTTTTAATACCAAATAAAACAGAAGAGACCTAATTGAAGAATACACTACCACCCTCTAAATTGAAAACCGCTTGGCTTTATAAATCTTCCTCTTTTTGGCTTTGACCCTCCCTTCCAGTTGAAGTTTTAGGTCAGTCCTAGATCTCTGGCCAATATGTAGGAACTATAGGCCCAAGGAATCAAAGCTATTGGTTTAAGATGGAAAAGGTAAATGATGTAATATTATACATACAAAAGTCTCGCCCGGGTCCCACGCAAGTGGTGGAAATGGGTTCCTCCTGGTGGAACGGGCTGGCTGAGAAATAAAAACTAAGAAAAATAGAACAACGAAAAAAAACCACATGACACAGAAAGTAGTTTCAAAAGTGGGGGCAGGACGGGCAAGTCTATCAGACAGATGGAGCTTCTAGACTCTGGCAAAATGGAGCCCAGGCCTGCTTTATTTATATTGGGAAATATCAAAGGCCTTCCATAGAATGTTCTTCACGAAAAAGGTTAAAGGTGAGCTGTTCAGTTCCCAACAGGTTGAACCCATCTCCAGATCAGTATCTTCCTAGCAGAGTAGAGATATAGGTCACGTGCATTGGGCAATCTATTGGACAGTTCATAATGCCAAA